GCGGAACGTCGCAACAGTTTGTGCTCTGCCAAACGCAGTTACCACATGCTTGAAATTCAGGCATGTCGAGGCCAATGCATTGCACAAAGGGGCCTCTGCCGCTAGCACATTGAGCGCACTGCTGCGATTGTTTCCGGACGAGGCCTGTGGCTTGGATGATGGCGCCTTTCCACTTGTCTTCCGCCTCTCCGAAGGCCTTCATGTCGTCCTGGCTGAATATGATGCCATCGCGGAGCTGGACAGGTCGTTTCTGAGGTAAGCTGGACAGATATATGACGATTCTATTGCTCGATACGAGGCGGTTCACTGGTCCAACAGTACGACCCGATGCGTCAATGATCATGGTCAGGGGAGGTTGGTTAGGTCTGACATGACTGGGGATCGTTACGGCGGCGCCATTCCGATGCTCTCCGTTGGTGTTCATGCCATTGAGTCCAGCACTGGCGACCTTGCTTAGATGTGACGCTTCATTGTGCGCCGAATCGCGCCGCGGGGCAGCGCCGGCGAGGGCTGCAGCTGCAATGCTAACACGTTCATCATTGTCTTTCCGGCGTTGCTCGTCGAACCAGACAGCCAACTGCCTCTGGTGATGTTCGCGCTGAATCTTCATATCCTTCCTGGTGTTTTGGAACCTGTCGTTGAGCTCTTCAAGGTGCTTGTGTTCCCGGGTAATGGCGCGGTGAACTTCGAGGGCACGTCGCTCGAGCTCATTCTTCTCCAAGTTTAGCTCGGTTAAGCGTGCCATGTAGTACTTGGCATTGTTGAGATACTCTTTGTCGAGGTTTTCATCGTCTTGCTCTTGCAGCTGGCGCATAGACTCCCAGTATTGCTCCTCATCCTGGGTGACAGGCCTCCTGTCATCTCCAGGATCGAAAGGCATGGTGAAGGCGCCCCAATTGGCAGGGTAGCGGTGGTGGTGATGGTGAGCAGATGAAAAGGGCGGGTTTTGAGCGCAGGTGTGAGTGAAATGCGTCGATAAACGCAGCAGTGCGGTTCATCCAAAGTTGGAGACACGGGGCGCGAGCTCTCGAGATCGGTCGGGCAGAAAATCGAGATTACTTGAGCACGAGGGTGCGACCGTTCCAAGCAAGACTGGGGTTTCGCATTGAAGGAGATGGAGAATCTTGAATGGAAATGAAATGCGGCGACAGTCCGACCAGGGGTGTGAACTGTGTGGATAAGCCGAAGATGTCGCGAGCGTCGATCAATCCGCGGCGACCTTGGGTGTGTTATGCCGGCGCTATGGCCTGTGAGCCTGTGAGGTGAGGTGCTGTCGAGATTTGTGTGTGCCTGTGTGGGATGCGATGCAACGGGAGAGGGGTTCTGAAAGTCAGACCGGGGATGGTAAAGTTAGGTGAGGTAAGTTAGGTAGGTATCCGTAGCGGGAAGTGTAATCCACGTAAAGGGTCGGAAGGAAATAGCCGACGGGAGATGAAAACGTAAGGCGACAGTTGGAGGTTTGGTTGAAAGTGAGGGTGAGGTGAGGGTGAAGACGGGAGATGAGGCGATAGCGTCAAAAGATACGGATAGGAACTTGACTGCAACGGGTAGCGGGATGTGGGTGAGTGAGACGTCAAGCGACGCAGATTTGCAGGACGGTGGCTGCTAGTGTGCTGTACGACAGTCCCAAGTCCCTAGGTGGCCGTATCGAAATCGAAATTCCGAGCAATAGAAAGGTAGCGCGGGTGAGCAGGGGACGAGAAATGGACTAATGCACTTAGTTGGCTGAGGTGCGTCGATGTCGTTGAGGATAGGCGGATTATAGGCCCGGTGGAATTTGGCGATAGGCGGATACCTTCAAGCACGCGGTCGGAAAATGACAATGGGTGAGATTGGTGAGCGAGACAGGCCGGGAAGTGATGGGCCGGATTCTCGAGGGTAGAAAAGGTCCGGGGTTGCTGCCCAGTGATGATTTGCTGTTGTAGATGCGGACAGAAAGACGTGATGCGATGCGGGTGCGAATGAGATTGGATGGTTCCTTGGGAGAATACCTAGGTGAGTAGGTAGTCGACTGCACCAAATTGAACCTCAGCCGCTGTTGGAAGACGATTGATTAGTCGTCAGGTAATGAGTATCGCGTGTTTGCACGTGATCTGGCGCAAGAAAGGAGACGCTTACTCCCCTGTGCCGACGCAATGGAAGGGATGAGGGAGGGGTGGGCAAGATAGTCGTTCGTGTATGTATACGTAGAGTACGAATAGATAGGGAGTTGGATTGGGGGGAGGTGGGTGTGTGTGTGAGGTAAGGTACCTTATTGTGCGATGGATGATGGGGCAGACTGCAGACCGGGTCTTAGAGAAGTTGCGCGTTGGTCGGTCGTCGGCTGTTACGCGCTGTCCGATTATCGACAATCCCCTGATGGACTGAGTCGGTTGCGGTAAATGTTTTGTCTGGGGAGGGGAAAGCCAAGCAAACAGGACCCGGGCTTGAATCAGATCGAATGCGTGGTGGCCTTGTTTAGAACCTAGAAAGATGCACTCCGTACCCGGGGGGGGGGGGGGGGGAAAGGGGGCCTTGTGTGGGGGAGAAGGAAAATTTCAACAAAATGAAAGAAAACGCCGGGACAATGGACAATAGCTGGCACCTTGGTCCATGGGCTAGGAAAAGCAGCTTCAATTTGCTTGCTTCCCCTGCTTTTCTAGTCCCTGAGGCACCTATTCCTATCATGCATCACACCTACCTAAGTACCTTACCTTGCGGAGGAGCTAAGTAGATAATCAAACAGATGGCCACCTTCACAAAAGGTAATCGATGCCGATGGACGGATAGAATCCGCACATAGACACAATAAGGTAAAGGTACCTCAGATGCATACCGAAATAGTCGGCCAGCTCAAGCACTATTCATTCGTATGAACGTACTCCGTACATAGGCACACACTTGCCTCAATGTTGGCAAAATGGCAGGAACGGACTGCCAGTTGCCCCCACCGGCACATGTACAATATTGAAGAGGAGGCCAATCGACATTCACTGCGTCCTTCCCTTGTTCTATCTTCGGGTGCAATACCCTGCTAGATGGTATCAATAGTTGAGGTAACCTAAGCTGATACGAATACCTTGTCACTTACCTAGTATGGAGTACTTAGGCACTTAAGGTAGCGCTACAAAGTACGGAGTACGGAGTACGGAGCACCTTAAGGTAGGTAACGTAAGGTGCTGTGTTGGCCCATGCATTGTGCATGTACCTTTTCAAAGTATTTTCCCCAGTCCCTCGTGCCTCCCTAGCAGACATTGTTCGACATGGAAATCCGGACAAGTATTGCGCAATCGGCAGAATGCTCAAGGTAGGTACCTACTTACCTAGGTACGCATGGATGCAGACAGAGCTCCTTAGCCATCCTATGGGCAACACCAACTCATTCCCTCAATCATGTTGATAGCACTGCTTTGGATCGCTCCAAGGAACCGTGTCTCATGACAATTGAAATCTAATTACCTAGGTAGGTATTCAACCCTATTTTACATCGTCACACCTAGACCACGTGATTGGATGCAAGTGCGAGGAAACTCAGGAAAGCCGCCTAGCTTCAGGCTAGCGCACGCCGATAACAGATCCGATGTACCCGATAAGGCACCATGACCTGGGTGCCTGGGTCCCCTCCACCTCTTAAGATACTTACCGACCTCGTCCCCTCCTCCAATATCAAAACCTCCAAGTTCCAGCTTAGCCTACCTGCTCAACCGTTTAACCGCCTGAACTGATGCCATGAGATACAGACTCCCGACACTGACCGGCAGAGTCATGTGCTGCGATTGGTTACCATCTGTACGAGTTACATCCGGTGTGCCAGTACGGATACCTTTCTCACTTCACGCACATTAGCTAAAAACTTCACTCGGCCTCGTTTCCGTGTTCCGGTCTCCGTGCATCTCAGACTGGGGACTCCACCTCCACTTCCCACCCCTTCCAATCCAAATCCTACCTTGAAGACACGGACGCAGATCGTAAAAAACCTTCTTTTTTGTTAACTTTTTTATTCAAGCCTGTCAACGCTTGTCTGTCCGTGTATCCGTATCTATATCCCCCCCCCCCCCACCAAAGCCTCCAAGCCCGAGCCTCTCGCGCTGCTCGGGCAGTGGATGCGACTTTATCTTGCGGGCTGGGACATTGCTCGCTTGTTGCTCCTTGCCTTCAAGGTTTTGCCTGGGGGTCTCGCGGACTACATACGCATCTAATTAGCCCACCAACGGCGGACCATCTGTTATGCTTCACCTTGATTGACCATTGAAGTCTTTTCAAAGCTTGATCTAAGCTCATGCCAAATTTGTCCCCCTTTCCTGTTACTATAACGTGGATGGCAGGCCAAACTCGATATAACCTTCGAGTCAAGCTGCCACATATACCCTTATTGCAGAGTCACATAGTGTCTACACATGCCAAGACATCGCCGCCTCAACTTGTATATCCGTACAAACTCGGAACGAGCTAGGTAGAACCGTAGAATGATACGTTTACCAGGACAAGACTTCCTCCGTCTCATCTTGCGCTTATACTGGCCTCCCCGGTGAAGGACCACGCGGCTTGCATTCCCTTCCGACCCCTCCCCTTGTTCGTCTCCCCTAGCTGACGACTCATAATCTCCCCCCGGGCGCGCTGAAATTGCTCTATCTTGATTGAATTAAACTATGTACTACTGACACCCGTGGGCATCGATACCTATACGTGCTAACGTTATTAACCTATTCGCTGTTGCTGATTGCTGGTTGATCCTACAACCAACCGACCCCGCCGCCTCGGCCGCCCGCCTCAACCCAAAAACTCAAAATCGGCCGTGTCTCGGGATGCAGCCCGACCTGTAAAGACAGTTTTTACCCCCAAACGCCATTCTGATTCAATGCCCAAGTCGTCGTCATCCCCAAAGTAACACAGATGTCCGAAAAATATTTGCTGCAGATCGGCAAGATCCGGATTCCTGTCGTGAAATTTCGCCGTGGAAAACGCCCATTCAATGTCTAGACGTTGTCATGCACATCCTCGCCGCCAACCTCGATGCCGCATTAGTACCTTGCGGAGTAGCGTGCCGGTGCTGGAGAGGGCGAGTAGGAGTGATCGTATCCACCAGCGTGGTTGTAGGGGTCGTTGTCATAAACAGTCGCTCGACGATCCTCCTCTGGCAGCAGCTCCTTGACTTCCCAGTTGTTCATCCTAGTTCCAACTGAGAACTCGAGATCCTCGCGGGTAATTGAGTCCCAGTACTGCAGTAGCGGATCAGTAAATGCTGTCATTTCAAAAATTCTCAAGTTTGCATACCTTGTACACCATCATGACACCCAGCAGGTTGCAGATAGTGGCGAAGAAAAGGCCGTCGAGGTAGTGGCTGACGGCGGTGCAAATCTGAGTGCTCACGGCGTACAGGATCACTTGGCCAACGACGAAGAAGAATATGCCAAAGGCGATGTCACCCAGCGGCCAGCGGTCCTGGAGAGTCCTAACGACGAGGAGGATTTGCAGGGCAACGTAGACGAAGAGCTCGATGGCGTTGAGCAAGTACAGGACGACGAACAGGCCGACGGTGTTGGTGGGACCCAGGCCAGCCCATGACTTGAAGGTCGCAAGGGAGACGAGGAAGCATATCGCAAAGGCCACCAGAGAGCAGACGCGCAAGAGCCAGACTGAGAGGAAAGTGCCGTCCTCGTACAACTGGAAGCCGACAAATCCGTTGATCAACAGGCAAGTAATCAGAGCCGATGACAAGCCGTTTTGAACTGATACGAAGTACGGGTAGGGGGCGGATCCAGGGGGTACGACACCTGCGTCGACGCAAAGTGAGATGAAACTCAGAAGCATGTAGATGTAGAAGAACATGAGGATTTCCTTGCGACCTAATCATGTTTTGTCAGTACTTCTATCAGAAATGAGGGTTCGTGAAGGGTGACGTACCGACAGCAGTGAACTTGCCGCGAATGTGCAAGATCATGACGACGGTCATGAGCAAAGACACAATATGCATGGCGCTGGCGGCACCCTCGAAAATGATGGTGTTTGCCAGCTCGATATTCCTCGCATAGCAGTCCGGCTCAATACCAACGCCGCTCGTCACCTCCGTAATGGGGCCGATGGATGCGCACAATGGCAGCGGCGCCATATGGCAGATGTTGGTGAAGTCGCCGAAGCCTGACATGATGGGCTACGGCCGACCTACGGCGATGAGTCTTTCGGAAGGGCAAATGGCGAAATGGAAGCGTCGAATGGTTGGAACGGGGTGCGAGGTATGCAGTTCAAGTTTCCGTCGAGGGTCGTTTGAAGTTCTCGACAGGGGTAATGGCGAAAGGGTACTCGAGCGATGGACAGAGTCGAGGCCAAGCGACGGATTCAACGTGATGTGGATGGCGTTTCGTCAAGAGTGAGCGAGAGGTCCGGCGAAGCCTGGTCGTATCGTCGCGAACGAAGGGGACGATGGTGCGAATGGACGAGGAATGGATGTTTCGATGGACGTCAAGGGAGGTCACTCGGATGGAGGGCGGGCGGGCTGATCGTGGAGACGAGGCGTCGGGGGTCCGTGACGGGAGATGGCAATAATCAGGAGTCCGAGTTCAAGAGCGACGGAGAGAGGTTTTTTTTTTTCTTGGAGAGAGTTTTTGTCGACGACGATGACGATATTACGGAGGCAGCGACGACAACCTATCTGTGAAGGTGGAACGGAGCGAGGGTGCGACAACGAATGACTGAACAAGAACCTGATTCTGATGAACGGGCTGGTGGTTGGGAGCGAGTGACAGTGAACGGTTGCTGTCCGACGACAAGCTGAAGCTGAACGGGGGGAACGTTGGAGCAGCGTTGCTGTGGAAAAGGGAGAAAAGGAGCCCACTCTGGGACACTCTGAGGGCCTGCAGGTGCAGAACAAGCGCGGCAAGTGCAGGAATCAAATTGTACAAGTGCCAGGAAGGGGCGGGCAAGCGGGCAAGGCGGGTAGCACAGCAAGGAAGGAAGCACACAGCTGGAAGGAGAAGGGTCGAGGGGACCACTGGGAAGGTAGAACGCTCTCTCGTAAGAGGCGCCTTCCCGGTCCAGGAACGGGACGGAGTGGGGCGAATGGCAATCTTTGCAGGTCAAAAGGTGGCTGGTGGCTTTCGATGTTCCCCAATTAAATACAGCAGAATGCCATTCTTTCCGGCCTCTGACTGGCTATCTCGTGTTCTTCCTTCCCCCCTTGGAGCGTTGAAATATGTATTCTCGGCAAATTATCCTAGTTTAGCAGCATCACCCCTGCCCAGTCCACTGAAGCGACGTCCATTCTTCCCCGCTAGCTCGAACACGAGGCCCTGTCGCCCCGTCTGGCAAGAAGTGTAAGCAGGAGAGATCCCCGTTGTTGCCAGTTGCCCAGCCACTTTAGGGAGCTTTCATATTGCGTATGTAGTAGAGTGCTTATGTAATTCCTCCCCTTCATTGCTGCATCTCCTCAATTCAATGCCCTCTTCTCTCTGAGACGAGGCGCGTTCTGTGCATTCGTCTGGCCTTGATTGCTTCGTATCCATTTCCAGATTCCACCATCGTCAAACAAAGACATTGAGTCGGGTGTGCGACGCGTTGCTTGTCCCTGCGTTAGAGATAGCAAAAAAATCTGACATCGAAACAAGACAAACCTTGCAAAGAACAGCAAACTCCCGCTGTCACTCACGCGGGCACGCACTCTCTCTCCGTCGTCCAGTCAACCGTCGCATAGTTTTCGTCCCATCTTGCCCCAAACTCTTTGCCTCTGCGATAATCACTTGCAAACCGGTTATCAAAAGAGCCAATGACCAAGATGTGCCTACTGATGGTCATGTCTTCATGTCACAATTTGTTGACCTGACAGTCTCAGCGGCGAATCAATGTTGATCAACCACCGCGGCAACCGTCTCGGTGTAGCCCACAACCCGTGCAATACGTCGTCGTCCCAGCTTATTGGCCCAGCCGAACCAACGTCTCAGCCTGATCTGTTGAAACTTCACCCAGCACAACAAAATTGCCCTGAATTACCACAAGTTTTCAGCCTGGGTCTTGGCGCAACTTCACCTCGTTTTCAGATCAGCCTCATCTGACGGATCTCGAAACCTCCCTACACCTCCAACGTTGGTAGTGCCAGCACCGTCAAGAAAGTGCTGTCTGCGGCCCAGCAATGCCTCACCCAAGGCATGGCCTTCAACATCTGGAAGTGAGCGGGCAGGATTTCTCCCGTCCAGCTCTGTGGCTCCTCCTGCTTTGGCCCTCTGACATCCGCGTCACCAAACTCGTCATCGTATTCCAATGACTGTAGTGACCGGTGTTGCAGAAACCGCATCAGAGTTCGGAACGTTGCAGGAGTAAAGTTGGCTTCTTTGGTGATGCTGACCGTCACGCCAGCTTGTTCCATTCTCTCCTCCGCATCCCTGGTCTGAAAGTCGGTCCAGTCCACCTCGCTTAGAATCAACAGCGACGTCAATACATTGGGTAGCACATTTCGTTGGTGAGCGAGGCTGGCTGGTGCTCGCCTCCAACCCAACATGCCATACACGTTGGCCGCAATACACCAACGAGCCTTGCTGCCGAAGCTGCTCCTATTCTCATGTCCGTCCGTATCCGCCACAATTCGAAAAGCCTCCTTGAGGCACTGGATAGCGTTGATGGCGCGGTGGATGCGATGCCATTTGGTCAGGCCGAGTAGGAACAGAGCCTTCTTGAACGTTACAGGCATATCGGCCTCCCGATCATTGCCTTGGTAGAGCTTCCTCATCGTCTGGATGAAGCGATCGACCAACGCAGCAATATCAATCAACGACTCCGCGGCTTTCTCCAACGTATCGGCGACCGCGCTCGGCTTCAGCCACAACAAGCTACCCTCCCGCTGCAGCTTGCTATGCAACAAGCTGGCCATGCAAGCGGTGACCTTGACCGCAGCCCGCTGGCAATCCGCCCTCAGCATCATGATGAGACGGTGCTCGGCGTTTGGCCCGAAGCCTACAAAGCATCGACTGACAGACTCGGACGGGTGGTAATCGATGGTGAGGGTGCCGTAGTGCATCAGCAGGCCCTTGGACAGGTGCTTCTTCTCCTTGACGCGGTATAGCACCCGGGAAGAGCAAGAATCGTTGTCGACCAGGAATCCGTCCCGGGAAAAGTGACCGACGTCGCCAGAGGACAGCGGCATCCAAAAGACGTCGTCGGCCAGGGGGCCCGATGGCTGGTAGAATTTGGACTTGTCTACTGTGAATGTTCCTCGCGGGGCCTCGACGGACGTCCATGTCGTGGCCATATCGATATACGCCGGCGCCAGGCGTGGGGCCATGGCGAAGCTCGAAGATGTCAGACGGCGTATAGGGACGAGATCGTTGGCAGACTCGTTCTTTGCGTCGTCTGCGCTCTTTGACCTCTTTAATCTCTTGGATATGCCGAACGTCATCTTGCCGTCAAAGTTTTCGGGATAAGTTGCTGTCGCGTGCTTCCAGTTCCCAGGCAAGCGTTCACTGACACTCTTCGTCTATAGCTCTTTCTTTGTCGGTATTTTAGGAGGAATACGTAAGAGCTGATAGGCTGACTGACAACTCTTGGCTGATATGTGCCTCTCAAGACAAATGATCAACAGGTGGGAGATTTTCACTGCTCTTGAAAGGTAGGCATCGTGCCATATCTTCCCAGCCCCAGATCCATCTCCGATTGCATATTGCATGATAAAGTTCTAGTGGTTGATGCGATTCCACGAGCGATCCGGGCTGGTTCTGAAATCCATCTCCGATGAAGCACATAGCAATGCTTTTCCCAGGCGATCAAATCATCCTCAGAAGGAATCACCTCCTTGATACCCTTCTGGAAACAAGTGATGCTCAAGGTGCCAACACGAGCCTTTCACATGTACCCAAGTAAAGAGTAGGTAAGCTAGGCGAGGTTCTCTGGAGTCCGCTCATCTGAATAGATCAGAGACACCGAATCTCATTAGCCTGTTCAAGGTGTTTGGCTGTCCATGACGGAGCCCATTATTTGCAGCGCGCTTGCGACCTATTTGCGAGACAATTCCGTCGCCCAGAGCGTTCCAAAACAAGACATGGTACACTACTTTTCAGATGGTTCGTGGCTGTCCAGTCTACAAGTGTTTCAATTTTCCTCCCACGCAATTATCAATTGACGGTTACCTGGGCGAATATTCTGACACCGTACCGTGCCAAGCACGATATTGCATTCATTTTCACACAGTGAATTTCAATCAACCAAATGTCACCAAAACTGCAATGTCACTGTCCCTCTCTGATTGGTTCATACCTATAAACTCAATCTGCCCATAAACCAGCGACAGGCTTTTGACCATCACCATATGGAACTAGAAATATATGCTTACTTTTACTTTTTTGATTTGATTCGCTTGATCTTTCGTGATCTAGCCGTCATCGCTGACGCTTGATTTCTATCTACGCCGAAAAAAGGCTCCTTTGCCTCTTCGGAAGAAGCCAAGAAAAATCAAACGCTTCGGCTTGTTGGGGAAGCCGAGCTTGCGTGGTGCATCATCTACCAGATGATGCGTAAGCTCGAAGGACCATTGCTCTTTCTTGCCTTGTTAACCTCCTTGTTGCCCCGAAAGCCCAAAAGTAGGGAAAGAGAGAAAAAGACAACTCCGCCTGATGCAATTTTCACAGTTGATCCATGAGAATCGTCCCTTTCCTTGCCAAGATCCCCCAAATTTCCCCAATCCTCCTTGCCCGCTGATGAAGTAAAAAAATAATGATCCTGACCCGACGCCTTGGACAATGCAATGCTTAATAAAATGAGTTGAAAGATCTATCCTCGGGGTATTGTCCCCGAGGAATGTATGGTGGAAATGGTGGCTGGTTCATTCGATTCCCAAGCCTCTAGTTCGGGAAAGGTCCCTGCGGCAGACCATGGGGCATATGCGGCATGTGAGCGCTCATTCTGTAGGGCGCATGCATGAATTCAGGAACTACGCCGGTTCGTAGGTCGTTACGCCGCCCGAGAGGTTGGTAGTGCATCTGTGTCGTAGGCAGATGATACTCGTTGAGAGAAGCCGACGGCGGAGGGTAAAGTAGTGTGTTGACATGACGAATAGGCTTGTACGGGCTGGGTCGCTGTTGAAGATAAACGCTGGGCGAGTGTGACATGGGCGTATGTGAGATCGGGGTGTGCATGACAGATGTCGGGAACTGTTCCCCGAGAGGCGAAGACGCATACACAGAGAGACTTCCTGGACTGTGTCTCTTGGTCGGAGTGCCGTATCCCATGTTGGGATGCATCGGTACATTCGAGGGCGTAAGCGAGGCCTGCGGTATCGAGGTCGTGGCTGGCATGGGCAGCTGCGGCATCGAGACTGTCGTGGCAGGGTTGAACACTGTTGCCATGGCACGAACGCCGTTGCTCAAGGGCGGCAAGGAGACGTGTTGCTGCGCCGGGTAGGTCGTCGGGGCCGGGTACATTTGTGCCTGTGATGGTGTGGGGTTGGTGTTCAGCGTCAGGTTCGGTACGGGCAGACGCATCGGCTGCTCGTTGACCGCCATAGGTCTACCGACAGGGGGCATCGCATTGGGCTGCCTGCTAAGTCGCTTCGCCGGGGGCTCTGCCACATCTTCCTCTGAGCTTCTCTTACGAGCATTCATATTCATGCCCGGGACGTGCTTGCCAGAAAGTGGTGACACCTGAGGGTTGTGATGATATGTCGAGGGCCAAGCCTGCGTGTTGCTCTGCGCGTTCGTGCTCGGTGAGTAGACGTTTGCGGCAGAAGGCGTGAGGGGCGGGAAAGAGACTGCGGGCTGTGCGGCGGCGATGGGCGATGGGACCGGCGAGGTGAAGGACTTGTTCAAAGGTGAAGTCGGTTGCTTCTGCGCCCGCTCGTAGTATTCCGAGAAGCAAGATAGCTTTACGAGCCATTCCTCCCACTCCTCTTTGGTGGCCAGCAGGCTGTAGCGCATGTTGCTGAGGAACTCGACCTCCATCACATGGATCTCTTGAACGGTAATGCCGGAGACTTCGGCCCAGGTTTTGTTCGTGTAGGTGTTATCATCCAAAACTACGAGGTGTCAGCAAAAGACTCAACCCTCCCCCCTATTGCAATCATCACTTACACTTATTGCCCAGCATGAGGGCAACCGTCAAAAGACGATACTCACTACCGGACCGACCTTTGACGGAAGGATTTGTCGTCTTCAATCGATAGACGAAAAGCAGGGCCAACAGAATCACGTTTTGCGTGACTTGGGTCGTCGAGAGCACGCTGTAGGCCCACTTCTTGAACTGGGGGAAGGGGGTCGCATACTCGGTGAGGCGAGGTACGGTGGCGGTCGATGGACGAGAACGGATGTTCTCAGCGATTCGCAGGGTGTCCATAGACTCGAACCAAAAGAGGCACGTAATCTGAGAGAGGTCAGCTACTACTATTCTTCTTCTTTGCGGGCCAAGTCCAGCTTACCTGTGCGGCAAAGTCGGCCAAGTTACCACCCTTGGGATTAATGCAGCTCGGTATCGACAGACTGTGCAGAACGAGAGCCGAAGAGCCCTTACGTGACGAAGTGTCATCTGGCTTGCCAATGGCACCTGAAGTCGGTGTTGACGGGCGAGTCGAGTGTCGAGAGGTGGTTGAGTATTGGCTAGTGCCCGAGGCCGGATTCGTTACCGGTTGCGGGGGTTGGGAATACGTGTTGGCGGGTTGTTGATACCGAGAATATTGAGGGGCTCTCGCAGCCTCGGCCATGACAGCCTTAGGTCCTCTTGCCTGAGCAACTGAGGAAGGGTATGAGGGAAGAACATGGCTGTCGTAGGAGACAAGGTGAGGGGCGTGGTAGGTAGCACTCATGGCGTCGGTTGGCGGCGTGCGAAGCCCGCCCCGGTACAGAGAAGCTCCTGCCCCGAGATCGAACCTGGAAACTTTTTGCGAGTGAGTGGCTGTGAAGGAGGTTTGCTGAGAGTAGCTCTGTCTACACGACAAGGGGTGTGCAGGAGACAGAGGGAGGCTGTAGAAGGGCAAAGGTGCGGCAGTCGAACACATCGGAGCGGGGGAAGTTGATCGTTGGCTCGCGGAGGGGGGGCTCGAGGTTCGTCGTTCGAAGGTCCACAATCTCTTGAGCGATGCTTCGGCTGCAGGAGAAGTATTTTTTCGAGAGGTCGAATAGAGGTCGGAAAATGGTGGAAGAGAGAGTGGCGGGTCGAGAGGTATCAGTCGAGAGAAATCAAGGTCGGCTACTACATTTGTGGTTGAAGCAGGCGACAGAGTCCCGAATATGATTCACTTGTAGAAGCTTCCTTTCCTAGAGAGAGATTTGTGTGCACCTCGGCAGAATGCTGTGGGCAGTTTGAGTCAGGCAGAAAAGGTCAACCTGAGATTATATGAATGCTCCCGTCGGGTGGTTTTCGTCTGTACTCGCAAGCTCGAAATCGCAGTTCTCTTGAGGATTGGTGATTCTTGTTGAGGGGTGTCTTGTCTCCGTCACGAGCTGGCCATGGCAGGGTGAATCGTGCAAGAATTTGGTCCAGCCGCAGTCTCGATCCAAGATGTTCGTGCTCGTGATCCAAGAATCGAGGAGGGCGTGAATCGTGTTCGTCGACCGTTGAGGTGCTGATTCGATTGCAGGAGCAAAGTAGAAAGAAGTAGGAGCAGGAGAACACCTTTGGAGGGGTGGATTGGTGGGCACAGTGACCAAGGTATGGGAATCGGAGATGGGTTCGACGTCGATGTCAGGTCGACAAGGTACGAATAAGTCGGAGGGGTGAATGGGTCGGTGGATTAAATTCGGTGGAAATGGGAGGTAGGTATAAGGTAAGGTGGAAGAGGTGACCCTGGGCCGACGTGTACTTCAGATTGTCCGTGTAAATGAAGGGCTCGTGGGTGGTGAGGTCAATGGGGCTCCGTGATTCGGTGGGATGGCCGTGGTGGGAAGGATGGATGGGTGCGAGAAAGAAGAGTGTGGCCGGCGGTGTTGGAATTGTATTGTATTGTACGGGATGTTGCTTGGGTATTTGGCACACGCACGCATACATGTACACATACAACAACAGCAACACCACTAGTCCAGAGTGATGGAAGAAGAAGGATGATAATAACAAGTAAGAAGAGGCTAAAGACCAGAAGCAGTAGCAAGAGGGTCCCCGTCAACAAAAACAAGATTAGCACCTTTTGAGAGAATATAAGATAAAAAAAAGAGACGAGGCAAGGCAAGCTGGACGAAGCAGAGAGAAAGAAGCAAGGTAAAGGCAAGGTAAGGCACCTCTCACACGGCAAGAAGGTCGGGGCCGGGGGTCCAGGTAGAAAGGTAAGGTGAGGTACGAAGTGATAGATTGGAAGCCGAAGCAGTAAAACCACAAAAAAAACGGAGGTCTAGTGATATGGTTGCGTCGTTCGTTGTCTGGACCCTGGGACCTCTCTCTCTCTCTCTCTCTCTCTCTCTCTTTCTCTGCTTCCCCGTTTTTCGTCTTTATTTTTATTTTATTCTAATTATTATTATTATTTGGAGAAAACTTGCAGCAACACCCGCAGCCAGAGAGACATGAGTGAGTAAGGCAAGGTTAAAAAAAAAAATAAGGAACACACCTCACTACCAAGGAAAGTCAAGTACCTAGTTCCCAGCCTAGGCCCAGTAGCGCATGTACCGGTCATCCACAGATTGTAGGCAAAGTCACTAGATACGGATGTCTTGTGCGAGCGCTGTGTGAGAGGAGAAGTATCCGTCTCCGCGCGCCCTGGTTATGGGTCCTCGTCTGGGTCAGGTCTGTGGTCGCAGTGGATGAGGGAAGGCATGGGATTGGGATTGGGGGTTTTGGGCAAGGGCAGGCAGGTGGCACTGTGGCAGGAAAGGGACGGGACCCGGAACAGCCAACATGGGACATGGAGGGATGGATGGGATGTACCGTGTATCTCCGTACCCTCAAGTATGGGGATGAGGATGAGGATTGAGGAAGGGACGTGGGAGGGGAGGGGACCAAGGTACCTTGTTCCATGTGCGGCCTACGGTGCGGCGTGCCCTGTCCTTAGTCTTTGACTTGGAGGGGAAGGGGGGGCAGGTGAGGTGGGCAAGAAAAAGAAGATACTTACCATCCAGCTTGTTCGATTCCTACCTGCCTGACGGGGGGTACGGGTCTCCAGCAAATAAAACAACCCATCCGCAAGCGCAGGTTTGATTCAGCTGTGGAGGTCGGAGGAGCAAAGAAAGAAAAGGGCGACGCCGCACCTCACCTCAACCGGGAAGCTCCAGCACCGGCAGCACCAACCTGCCACACCACACCACACCACACCACACCAACTGGCAAAAAAGCACCAACATGGTCGGTCGGCGGAGAGGAGCAGGGGCTCCAGAGTCCAGGGAAGAAGGCAACTTTAGCAAGGAACATGACCCCAGAATTAGATACTTGCTTTGCTCTGCAACTTGCATTGCAGCTAAGTCCGTCTCTATCCCTACTGTGTGTATTCCCGTTGACTGGGTGCCCCTCCAAGTCAGGTAGGTTGTGGTAATAAGGACCGTAAGGTATCCGTACTGGGAAGTGCCGCCTTGAGGACAACCACTCAGTGCACAAAGTACCTTGCTTTCCACAAAGTGTCCGTACGCTTCTTTGCAGCCACACAATACCAGCAAGAGCAGCAATATGTGTACCTCTTCGGAGCCAGGAGGGAGTTAGGAACAAGGCAGGCAAACAAACCTGGAGCCAGACTTTCCCCGTAGCCGTCCCTCTCAGCTAGCCCGCCCGCCCGCCCCTCAACAAGCAACCACGTAACCAAGCCGATTATGGAAACAAGCCGCAAAAAATGCAAAAGTCAGGAAGGATTCAAGGAGACTAAGAGACAATTTGGCTCAGGTACGCAAAGAACTTTGGGCCAACCATGTCGCGAGGCAATCTCAAAGTGGGTCTTGAACCCAGAGGGTGAGAGGGAGGAAGGAAGGGGGGAAAGAAGCAGAATGCACGAGGATACCTTAGACGGAAAGAGCAGAGGTACTTGGCTTGAGGTACCTTTTTTCTCTCCCGTCCACCACCTGGGGCATGGAAGTATGTACCTTTTCTCGTGTTGCGCCACCAAAAAGACACATGTCTCGGGGGTTCCAGTCTCCAGTGGTTGGCCATTTTCGATGCGGAACACGATACACGGTATATCGATACGTACCTCGCTTTGCCTTGCGGCAATGCACTTGCATCTCGCACCGACACCAACACCATCCATGGTGATTGATCCAACACCAGTCCCAACCTCAACCAGCGTCAGCCATGAGGAGGCGCCGCGTATGTGCATCTTTCGATACACAGGCAGCCAGATGGCAAGGCGAGGCACAGTCGAGGCACGCGAAAGAAAGCCCAGCCGAGCCAAGCAAGCCTACGCAGCTCCAGAGTTCATTAGTCCTCAGAGTCTTCCTCTCCTCGTCCCCGGCACTCACAGATCACACCTCACAGATCGATACTCTGTATCCGTACAGAGCGCGGATCAACGAGACATTTGGGGTATCGTGATTGACAAAGCCTGGAGGCATCCGCAGAGCATGGTCCCGTTATTAGACGCAGAGTGAGTGACAGACAACCTGGAATCTGCCAGACCGATTGTCCTCCAACAGTCCAAGGCTCTGACCGGCCAGTCCCCGTCCAAAGTCGCAGTCCCGTTCCCAGGTGGTTTGGTAGCCATTCGACAATGATTGTGAGGACACCCCCTGTCATGACCGTGACTGTAACTGTGACCCCGACCACGACAGATGGATGCTCTGCTCCGTCGTCAATGTTCAATCCCATCCTTGAATATGATCCAGCACAGCGTATCGGGCAGACGTACTACAAGCCTAGCCTGGTCGGTGATGGTCCGTCGGCGTCCAAGTGCCTTCGTCCGCCTGCCCCCGTCTGAGGTTTCCGCCAGACTCTTGCCTAGGCCCTGGTACCGATCCGAATTCTACCTAGCGCGACGGGCCCACCTTCAGCTCAGGTGCGGTAAATAGCAGGCCGTGTGAGAGCGGCGGCGATGAAGCAGCAAGTCCCCGAGCCTGAGATTTGGTGTGGGAAGTGAGCATGCCGCATGAGGTGTACAAATACACTTCTGCTCAGGGTTGAATCCTGGGCATTCGCACTTTCGTAGTGTAGTCGTGGGCGCGGGCGTGGGGTATGGGGGCGTGGTTCCTCCACAAGAGTGTAGGTAGGTGGTGTATCGGAAGGGTGTGTAGATTGTATCCGTACTACTGACCGAGGGCGAGGGCGTGAAGGTGAAAACAAGCCGAGATTCAAAGTCCAGGTGAAAAAAGAAGAGTCGTGTCTGAATCAAATGTGCAAAGTTGCAAAAGGCTGCCGGCTAGACCAGAGGAAGAAGTTGTGGACTCAGACCTTCCAAGGTTGCGAGTGGACGGATGGAACTGCCACTGGCGGAAAGGAAGATGCAAGTTTTCTGTCCTTTCTTTCCGTGATGGTGGAGTGGCACCTGAGTGGTCGTTTTTTTCCCCTTCTTTCAGATTCTCCATCGGTCTTGAGGGTTGGTCTCCACTTCCGAGCCAATCAGGTCGATTCAGCCAATCAGGCTACTTTTGGTCTGGATGCAGCCCCAGCAGAGGGGGAGAGCAGGTGCCAGGTGCAGGGCATGCTGCACCGACCACACCTCAGGCTTCCAATGTTGCAGGCCAGGCCACCACCACCAATTTTCTGAAGTCGGGTGCGGGTGTCAATTCGTACCGAGAAGAGACTTTGAACGTCCTTGATGAGCTGCTCGCGAGCACAGGCAAGGAATATCTGATACCTTGTGTGGGTGGAGGGCTGAAAGAAACGCCAAAGAGGAGTCGTGGAGCTGCAAGAAAAGGAAAAGAAAGGACCAGACACCTTGTAGTACGTACAAGTACTCTGTATCCACTCACGTGCTACTGGCACCTACCACAGTAGGTACGCAGTACGCGGTACCTCACTAAGGTACGTAGAGCCCAGCTCGACAAGGGCGCGAGGAGGAAACAAGGTGACGAGGAAAAGCTACCTACCCTCCGCCATCATTCATACTGAAGATCAAAGTACTCCGAATTCCACCATCTCAAGTGTTCCTGTATCTGTATCCATCCGTATGTCTGTACCGATCCAATCGAGTCGAATCAACGACAGCGCCCAGTACGCCCTCGTCCACTGTTTCGCCCAGTCAGCAAAGCCGAATGAGTTACTGCAAGACGTCAAATGTCAAGACTCAACTTCTCTCACGCAGCTCTCATGGTCTAATAAGCAATGCTAGAACCAGAGGGAGGGGAAGGCATGCTTGATGCTTTTCCCGTCCCCGTGCGCCTATCCGCCGGGCGCCTCATTGCCTTTCCATCTTTAACCTTCCAGCCAATTATGGGCCGGGTCATGCTACTTCGCATTCCTCCAAGCCTCGAGGAGAAGGCAACAGGCCTTGATATTTGGACGCCCCCCCCCCCCCCCATTTCACTTCTCTGCTCTTCTCCTGGAGCTTCGGCTTCTCACACCCATCTCCCCCTCTCATGCCCCCCTTTCTCCTGCACCACCGCCCTGCCAGCACTGCTCACCCTCTTTTTCCATCTGCTGCGCTGATTGAGCCACACTAGGGCCTGGGTCTCGGGCGTGGTTTGGTCTTGGGGTCGGGTGGGGTTGTCAAGTGGCCCTTTCTTCGGTCCTGGGTGCGGGTGCGACTACGACTACGATTCCGACTCTGCTGAACGGAGTACGAAGTAGCCGTAAATGACTGACAAGGGGGGGCACGCCGCGTACAGGGAGGAAGCAGAGGACCGCTAATTACCTATGCTACCACGACATGGCGGCGGGTAGAGACCAGTTGAGCCCGCACATAGCTTTGCAGTCTTCCCATCCAGATACCACTGACCAGTGGCTAGCCAGACGGGCAGGACAGGGAAGAGGCCGGCATGGAAGACGAGAGCTGCACCTCCGCTCGCTGCACTACCAGTCCACAACGGTGACTAGAGAATGCTAGAGACGTGTTTGTCGGTCGATAGCAGAGACCACCGGAATCCAGGCGTGGGTGCCGACTACAGAGACTCTCCCCTTTCGTCGCGAACAGGTCGCCTCTTGCAAATACCGACATTGTGATGTCCTAGTGATAGTCGCAGTTAGCCAGTTCGATATCGTCAGCAAATGAGCATCAGCCTACTTAGTGTACACCAACCAACAAGTGTTTCGGCCCACAGGCTTTGCCCGTCAGCGATAGCTTCAGCCATCGCCCACCTTGAGGGCAAGAAACCGTCTCAAACGCCTCAGGCACCGTCAGATATAAACTGTTCCAGAGCAGTCCAACAGGGGTCGGATAATACAGCACATCTCTGTATGGAGTACTATGTAGGCTTGACCTGGCTTGCCTGCGTCGCTGTATGATGGATCGCTGGGTGTGTGAAGTGCTCGGCTTGTGCATCCTCGTACCACAAACGGAACAGGACCGGCGAGGGGGCGTTGCGTTGCGTTGCGCTGCGCTGTGTATCCATCCGTACAGTATCAGTAGGCTCCCTAGCGCAACAGCGAGCCCCATCCATCGTCAGCCATCGTCAGCATGTCCATCGCTGGCACATTTCGGTGGTACTTACGGATACTCTTGAGCATCTCGTCCCATCCCATCCACAGGCTCATAACCCACACTCACGCCCACTCCGCGCAATGCGGCACCAACCCCACACCAAACTCTTTCGGCCCTCGTTCGTTTTGGGCTCTGCTCATACAAGGTACGTCTGCCCTGTATCCGTAGAGCACCTGCATCCTGCTAAAACCTTGGCTGAACTGCACCGCACAGTGGGCGAAGCACCTTACATGGGCCATGCAATGCTTTTTTCGCCTGACTGTCTTTGAGCCTTGAGATAACCTTAGACCACGCCGTATCAGGGCTTGGCCGTCTTCGATGTCTCGAACCCAAGTAGCCTTGGTTTCCATTCGTTGTCTTGAGTCACTAGCCGCTGCAGCGCCTCTGGATGGTCGGTTCGTCCACGGCTGAGTTCCCATTCGTAACACCTGCTTCCGCGACATGCTTTCCTCCCGGTTGTAATGGTCCCCGGCCCATTACATAGATTCCTCTCGTCTCAAACCCTTTCGGTAACGCGGGCGTCATTTTCCTCGGCCGCCGTCTTTGGGGCATATTACGCCCGCCCTCGGCTGCCATCGTGCCGCATGCTGCAGGATAGTTTTCGGGACGAGATTCCAGCGTCCGTTTCCAAGCAGAATTTGCTTGCGCCCTCGTGTACGGAGTACGTTCAGCAATATGACGGCCTCGCCAGAGAAACATCCTAAACAGACCGTGACTCGCGCGTCTGCGTCCACTTTGCTAAGTTATGCTCAGCATTCAAATTTCCCAAAAGTGACGCAGACTTGCAACTCGAACAACGTACGGTTGTCGGACGGGACTTTCCGTCCCCTCCAACCTTCACGGAGCTCAAGCAACAGTGACTCAAGCACACCTAACCCTCTTGACAACACTCCAGAAAATTCGTCCTAGCTTCCGGTGCGCGTACGAATTGTGGTGTGTGGTATTGTTCCGGGCATAGCCTTGTTTCGATATTGCCCAAGTCCCTGACAACATGTACTGCGTATAGATACCTCACATGCCTAGTCCGTACTGTCTCATCAAATTGCGAAACTTTCGAACGCCTGCTTGCAATCCATCCCATCAAATACTCTGATAGCTCCACGATCATTTGCGTATCGAATAGATGCCACAGGTTCGCGGTAGGCCAGACGGAATGAGGGCACCGTACATTCGAGACCTTGTTTCGCCTCCGCACATCAGCGCTTCTCAAATTGACCAAAGTCAACAACGGTAGGGAAGAAATCTGGCAAGGAACACCTTACTTTGCAAGACGTCTAGTCTCCGTCGCTCTGATTCGTGCGGCGTGCCCAACAGCTCAGATCTTCAGAGGTCGGCAAATCCCAGACGACCCAGCATGTTGAATTAACCCAGGCATTGGTGCTGCACCGCAGTAGCAGTTCCATATCCGTGCCCACACTGTCGTGGCTCGACGCACAAAAGAGGCTGGCATTGGCATTTCGATGGGTGAGAAATGGCCGATCCAATTTAGTCCAGCTGCTTGCAGGCGAGTCAACTTTCCAGCCCAGGGCAAAGAAAGCAACACAAGACCGACGTGAGGCACGATCCCTTGTGTCACCTTGCGTCCCGCAACAGAAACACGGCCGCTGACGGCAGCGCACCGTCTTTTCGCCTGTTTGCTGGCGTTGACTCGGTGTGAATTGTGATCTAGGTGGATGTCGATGCTAGGAAGGTAGTCTGGTCACTGGAGTCTTGGTATCGTGGCCGTGGTAGTGCGGGGAGGCATCTTGTCCCTTGCCTCGCTCCGTCCGGATGGCACACGTATTGCCGTGCGTACGCCGTCAAAAGTCCGTTTGCAGGGTCCTGTCTTGTGTCGCGTAGGTACGTCCATGGCTTCCAGAACGCTAGGTGTGATGGAGCAAGCCAATGTATGTAGGTATGCTCGCTGCTGTCGACGCTGGTACCTCCACTAAGAAATCCCCATTCACCCCTCTAGTCCTGCGTCGACATTAATCATTTGCCTTGGGCAGTGGGCGCTGCGTAGCATTGCGAACTGCGGTCAGTCCAAGAACCTCAAAGCCCCTCCCCCCCTCATCCTGGACTCTTCCCAGGCATTGAGACAACACCCACTGCTGAGAAAGGAATGGTGATCCAACTTCCAAGGTCGTGTGGACGGCGGCACCGACTGGGTCTCATTCTCAGATGCGCGGGAGAGGATCGTCCCCTGGACGGCCGAATCGATATTGCTGCTGCGTCTGTTCTTGTCTAGGTTGTCTTGTGCAATGCCGCTTCCTTCATTCGTGGTTGTAGCCGGACCAGGGTTGCCAGGACACCATTGCTGTCTTTGGCCCTCTGTCCGCCGTTCTCTTGCCCGACGGCCAGCCCCTTGTCGTGCAAAGCGATCAAAGAAATAAAGCGACAATAAAGTGATCCCAAATGAGATCAAGCTTGGAGGATTAAGGAGTCTGCCAGACTCTTTGCCAACGCAACGGCCCTAGTTACTTAATCTGGTCTTTAACCCCAAAATAGAACGCAGCAGAGATGCCGAGCCCTGAGGATGGCCAAAATTGATAGAGCTAGGTGGTTAGCTCGGCGAGCAAATCAAATAACATACTGTTCTTGCCATGTTTTGCCGCGAAGTCTGCCAATGTGGTGAGCAGCGCCCCCAACATCTTTCATCTTCCTCGAAAGACCTTCAAGGGTCAACACCAAAGCCACATAGGATGTATACCCAGTAATGGTGTTGGTCGATGAAGAGCTTGCAGGAACCAAGAGGAAGCGATGGATGATTGTAGCGTATCGCCAAAGCCGAGACCATTGGGCATTGATTGCTTGCCAGCCTGCTGCTGCAAGACGAGGCTGTCAAATTGACGACTGATGCATGGCCCAGGCGCAGGCCCTCTGCTCACCTATAGGTAGAAATCGAGCACAGAATCAAGGGATCGTATCCGTACGAATACCCATGGTTGAACCAGCGCTAGGGTAGAGCATGCAAATAGTCCACGGCCGATCCTTGAGCAAAGGAACTTGGATGCTTCCGTGGCTCCGTCTGGCCCACGCCCTTTGCGTTTTCGTCCTCACCCTAATGAAACCGCGGCTTGGGGTTCGCCATTTCTATGCGTCAGAGAACTTGCTGTCGCGCGGATGCATTTCGTGAGCAACCATTGCAAGCGAGATGGACTGCAATTTCTTAGGGGAAACAGTGTAGACAAAGAGTCGGCTGTTCTCGAGGTTCCAAAGTGTTACACACTCCGTCGAGGCACGTCATGCACAACCCAGCCTTTGTGTTATTGTCAGCTTGGACTCTGTGGGCTGCTTGACTGGATCGTTGTCTGGTCTCAGTCACGAGCTGGTTCGGTTAAGGAGTGGGCACGGCGCTTGAAGGAATGGATGCACCTCTGACTGATGATGATGATGGTGGGTGAGTGGCACGCCCGTTTCGACAAAGTCTTCGGCTGTGGCAGCAACGAGACACTTCAAATGACAAAACATCTGTAATACAGCGGCGTCATGGGCCACGCCGATCGTGCCGGCCGAATAGCTGGGCGACGCTGCGCGCAGGGGCAATGCCGCTCCGTCCACTGTGCCCGAATTCATGAGCTCGGCCAGGTCATTAAGATCCCTGCAACATCAAACGACCCTGTTCGCCATAGACACTACTGTGTACGCAGTATACCCCGTGAGCGACACGCGAAGGGGGTTGTCTTGCCCGCGTTTCCCCTGCCAGGCTGCCAGACAACCGAATGGATGGAGCGGGCCAAAGTGGTTGCATTTGCGGATACAGCAAAGATTTGAGGTACCGGCCCCCAGACATGTGCTGTAAGAGACACGGTCAATTAGCACGGGAGGGTCCTCCACAAAGACTCTGCCACCACTGAGGTGGTGTTGGGCGTCGTCCAGTCATCGGGAAGTACGTGAAAATAGCGACAAGCATCATGACTGGTGAAGGGCCAAACAAGACTGGCTCCTCGCAATCCTATCGTTCAGTCAGGGTCAGAGAACAGCGGTAATGGGACGAGAGGGGTGTAGGCGTCGTAATATCTCAGCCTTCAACCGAGAAAACTGGACATACCTCTGCTGACGGATTGCATGCGCGTCGGTAGGCAGCGAATAATGAGGATGCGCCCTCCCCAAACGCCCCTGTGGCATGTCTGTTGCGTTGCATGTTGAGATGTTTCCCCAAAGAGAATGCATAGTTCGAGTCTGATCCTCCGCGACTCCGCGAGGCCTGCCGACAGGGTTTCGAGGGTTTTTGCTTGGTACTGCATGTGTCTACCTCATTCGTGTTGAATCCGACTTTAGCAACGTGCAATTGTCAAAAGACTAGGTATGAGATCTCGACCCAGGCTTGTCCCACCCAAATCCAATGGCGCCGGTGCCGGTCTGCGACGGAGGAGTAAGCCCGGTGCGGCAGTCTTCCTTCTTACTAGAGCCTGGTTCGTAGACACACTCAGCATGGCTCGTCCGGAAATTCGGGCATCGGCTGTAGCCTCCGTGAGTGTGAACTGAGAAACGGCAGGGAGGAGGAGCAAAATCTCATTCGTCAATCGGGCTTCGTCGACAGGTGCTCAGCATTCCTTGCTCAGCCCAACACATCGTTCCCTTGCCGGCTGCGGCATGGGACCGAGATCGTGAACAGGCCATGTTAAACCACTCCACACACTCATGTTGCTGTTGAAAAATGGTTCGCTCTGGGTGGCTAACGGCCATTCTGTGTACGAAGTACGTATTGTGAAAGAAGAACTGGGAACAGAGTACTATCCTGTGTGACCCGATCTCAGCCTCGTCATTGTCAAGCAGGATTACTTGGTGAGAAACTTCCTCTCGGAGTAGCGGAAAATGATGATGTTCCCCTTCTGGAATGCACACTCCTGTCCTAGGGAAACGCACGATGGTGGTAAAAGTAAGGTCAAAGACTGTGAGCCTTGGCCAGCCAACATTCATCGCACCACACAAACGAACCAACGCGCAGGCCAATCATGCAATCTTCCCATTGACTGCGTGTATGACTGTAATCCAAGGGGGTGCCCGTATGCTTCGTCTTCCGTTTTGTCACTTAGGAACTGCCACTGCGCAATACTTCTTTGGCGTTGCGAACCTCCCCACAGAATGGAAAGAGGTGGCCTAAGCCACATCTCCTGTAGGCGGCTTTCAGGACAACTTCGAAAGCATGTCACAGACAGGGGTATGACGGACTACTTACTTTTGAATCGAATCGCGAATTTGCCATCGCCGCACCGGTTTCGTAGTGAGTCGCAGCCAAACTCAGGGCTATAACGCCGCCTGTACTGGTCCATAGGGACGGTGTTCAGGACTTCAAAGCCTAATGAGGGAGTCAGCATCAAATTTGTGCTGTCTTCGTTCAACTGGCACTCTCATTACTGGCGCCAAATATTGAAGAAGGTAAGTACGGCGTAACGCTGCCCGCGGCGGTGCGGTCGCCTATGTGGCTTGTCATTCGGCTAGCGCAGACTGTTGGTGTGGTGCTCGGCCGGTCGATCGGTGGAAACAAACCTGACTGTTTGATGGACGCCTTGAGTGTGTCAATAGAAGCTTTCCCAGGTGAAAAGGTTGCAGACCACATGTCGCCTCGCCCACTATCTTAGCTGGGATCACGACACGGAACTGGGTTCTGCAGTCTGACCACTGACTCCATATTGCGTACACCGTCGTCTAGCATGCGGAACGTCAGTGTGATGCGCAACAACCTATCCTTTCCTTTCAATTTACATGCCGGGCTCAATGGGTATCAGGTTATCAACCTCAATTTTGTGGCGTGGGACGGATACGAGACTTTGAGCAGTCGCATTCGGGACAGTGTATCAAGTTCGACGAGCAAGATCTCCTGCTATTGTGCACACTTCAAAGGTTCTTTCGGTAATGAAGCATCCGTCTGTCCTCAGAGCAGCATCTCGACATGCTACCCTACCCCGGCTTGAGATTTGTAGACTTCTGTAATAATCGTCGCCGGTCGGTGTTTCGCGAAGCCGTTTCTGCGAACATACGGATACTCTTCCCAGTCTTGGCTCTCTGAAATCATGCAAGAGTCGGCCTCTTTGCCTAGGCCATGCGATCAAGCGGCGGAAGACTGGCGGCGTGTGTGGATTGCAGTCCTTAGTTGCGCCCATATCCGTATCGTTTCCGAATGAATGTGCGCCAATCTTGCTTGAGCCGGAGTCGCAGGATTGCTGTTTCCTTGCGAAGCAAGAGCATACCTATAATAACGCTTGGGAGTCAGTGCGAAGTGGTTGAAAATTTGACCACAATTGGTCAATATCGCGGTATTGAGCGGGCTATAGAGCCTTCTAGGGTGGGAGGGGCGTGTCTGAAGATCCAGAACACTGTACGGAGTGTTCAGTCTCGCAACCCGAAGTGCCCCATACTCCATATCCGATCTTAACTGTGTAGGTGTCTGGACCGCAGGGCGGCAGCCAATTAAATATTGTAATCGGTCACATATTTGACCATGTACTTCAACGGTGAGAGGATGTACTCCGTACCCAGCACAAGAAAAGGATTTGCCAGTTGTCGCCAACAAGAAGGGTCAGCCAGGGATCAGGGACTGGCCTCGGGCCTCCGTGTTTCCCGCCGTCCAGGCCGAAGTGTCCGTAATTGACGACCGCTGAGATGGCCGATTTGACGTTGGCAGTTTTTGCCAATGACCGGGGCATTTTGAGGCATCTGGAACCTTGATAGCGCTGTCCAGAGGTATCCCCGAAGCAGAACCAGTCGGTTCTCATGATTGTAATCGCAAGACTGTGATACAGCCCTTGCCGTTCAAACTGGCTGGCATCGTCAAGTTTTGGTATTGGACGTCGGGGCTTTTGGCCATGTCGAAGTCACCGAACCGGCCGGCGGGGATAGAGCGGCTAGGTGGATGGTTTGCTGGGCAGGCCGTGATCTGGCCATCAGCCACGCTCAAAACATCTCAGAACCTCGCAGAGGCAGCCGTGCCAGTATAGGCAATGATGGTCTGAAAAGGCTAGTGACTTGTGCCTCGGGTGCCAGAGCGAATTAGCGTTGCGTTTATGGCACACATTGTCGAGCGAAGGCGACCGGGGTGTGCCTAGCAATTCTCGCGTATCCGTAGATTTGGGTGCGAACTTTTTGCTGACATAGTGCGAAGTTAGCCCAGAATATGGACTGTTTGTCCCGCCGTTCTGCCGCCAAGAGCGACGCCTGTGGCGCTGTGTGGCAGATTCGTGAATAGTTGAGCGTGTGGGAAGGAAAGTATGGGAGTGTGTGTTGCGGCAACATGAGACTCGTGCTTTCCTATGCATCTGGGATTAGCAATTGCATCGAGTGGGACTCTTAGCTGTTACTTCGAGGTACCTCGAGACAACCTCGCGAAATGCCAAAAAGTCATCCGCATGGCACAATGCTATGCCTACAATCCAAACAACGATCCGTTCCAAGGCATCAGTTATCCGTAGGGCAGTCGTACAGTGCGTGTAGTCGATGTCGATAATGTGAATGCTGGAATGCTGGCAGCCCAGTGCTCCTGCGCGTACCAATCTTCGAGGTTACAAGTGTATGTTATCTGCGGCCGAGACAGGTGCTTCATAGCTCGAGGGCCGACTGCGTCAAGGGTCCTGAATGATTGAGTTACGGCAGGCATAACGAGTTGGTGCCCCGTACATAGTATACTGACTAAATACTCTGTAGGCCGAGCTTCAGAAGGCCTCTCAGCAACGAGATCTTTCACGGAGACTAGCTGGTAGTGGAGGTGAGACAGACAGGCCGTGAAATGCAAATTGAACCCACGGCCAGTCTACCGTACTGTGTAGCCATTCGATGGACTTGCAGGGAGTAGGAGGGTGTGCTTGATAGGCGGGCGCGCTTACGATAAGCCGTATCTAGAGTCTCGACGAGAGTTGAAACCGACCCTGAACAACGATTTGCCCAAAACCTCGTCTAGCCCGCTTCCTTATGCACTATGTTGGCGGTGGTTTGGCAATCATCAGCTGCAGTGTCTCTGGTTTGTGTGTGTATGTGTGTGTGTGATGAAACACACAGATACTGAGCATGTGGTGAAGAGGCAATGTAACTGTAAAGCGAGGGTGAATCGATGGACAGGAGGATCCCTTTGATGGCATGGCTCCTTCTGGTGACGTCCGCCTGGCTCGGAGGTGGAGGAGCGGCGCCATGCTGTCTGTCTCACACACGACGTAGCCATACAGGGGCGATGGCATGAAGCCAGCCCCTGGCTGCTTGAAAGTGCTTGAACGCTGGAGCTGGCGGGGCTCGATGTGCACGGGACTAAGGCCAGTGAGCCCGTCAACCGCGGCGGCTGGGAGTAGCTTGGTGCGTGGTCTGGATAACGCAACGCGGCACAGGCAAACGACGTCGGTCCCTGCTGACTCGATGGCCTGGTGACTTGTTCCATGTCTTTTGAGGGGGAATAGGCACGACAGGGTATACCTAGTGGCTTTGATGGTCGCCGAGGGGTAATGTTGGTTTGGTGGTGCTGGTTTAGATGCTGGTTATGATGGTGGTGGAGGACATGTAGGTATTTGATTTTGTATTCTTCTTTGCAGGTGGCTGAATCTTTGGCGATGCCCACATTGCATGCTGGATATAATATCAGACCATCAGGGCATGGCAATCAACAAAGGTAAGGTAAGTTGGGAGGATGGGGCGCTGATGCTGATATTGATGTCGAGGTCGTCGCCGTAATTCAAGTGGTGTAGGAAGAATGTGGTCAAGGGAAGACAAAGGAAGTTGCTGCCTCGGCTCCACCCGCAGCATAATCTCCACTGTTAAGATGGGAAGCAAGAGGAACGTCGTTCTTTCCCATCTGTAATTGCAAGTGCTCCGTTCCTTGCACCTTCTACAGCATCCTCGCTATGAACGAAAATTAAGTCCAGTTTGGGTGGTGCAGGCGATGCTGGTCACCTTCGGACCTTCCTTCTCCCATCTCCAAGTAGGTACTTACGAATAGTACATACGTACGTGACTTCGCACATAAGGTACCTTGTGGATACCTTACAATCAATGTCATTTGGGGCAGGGACTTGAGGCAGGCAGGCAAGCAGGCATGCATCTGGCAGGTGCGCAAAAAACCTACAAGTAGGTAGGTAGCACAAGGAAAGATGCATGAAAGGGCCTGCCAGACGGACATCCAATGGGAAGTGCCACGTTCCGGGCCTAAGGTACCTACCATAGGTACCACGTCCACAAGGTACCTAGGTAGGGACGTCCCTTCGGCCTAAGCAAGCTTCGCTTACATAATTTCCAACCCAGTCATCTCGAATGCTTAGATAATTGCACCAAGCAAAAACCGCCTGTCTGTCACTTCCACCATCACCACCATCACCATCTCTCCTCAAAACCTGCTTCTCTCTGTCCCATGCAAAAATGCATTCTCAAAGTCCAAGCCTGTCTCCGTTCCGTTTGCCACACCGGCCTGTCCAGACCAAGCGATATTGACGGACATGATGTACGGATACTCCGGGCCATGGTACACCCGCGGGAGCAGCTAGATACTCATGCCACCGCAGCCGTTACCAACACTTGTCGATATCAGCCACAACATACCGTATGTCGGACATAGAGTCGTACACAAATCGCACGCTTTTGTCTCGCGTCCAGCGCCTCAAGTCCAAGAATCGCCAACACTGATTGTCCCGATTCTGGCAGCCCGGCCCCAACAATCCTCTTCGTCTTTGATTGCCCCCTTGGCTCGACTTCAGACTCTTCCAACACAGGTACCTTTGGTCTTCGCAGTCTACGTAGTACTCCGTGGATACGGCTACTACCTGGCCTCTTTGTGGCTTATTGTTGTATGATTGAGCTACCCTGCTCCATGCCGTGTCTAGCCAGTCTCATCCGGACTGGACCGCCGCTATTTCAATGGCATATTCTCAGACTCCTCAGTCCTCAGTCCTCACTGCGGATAATATCGCTCACAGAGCCACCACCCCCTTTCACCTCGAGCTCGGACACCACATCTGCAGTCGCCCAACCAACGACCCCCCCCCCCTCCCGGGGGGCATGTCGCCTTCGACTACGGATTCGGGTACAAACCATCTTAGTCACTACGCCCCTGGGCCTCAGTAGCTGCATGACAGAGTCAGTCGGCTGCTCGCTTGCTTTTTTCTCCCTCAGTCATAATCACATCAGCCCCTTCTCAATGCTGCTCGATCTCGGCCTCGGTTGGTGTCCAGGTGAAAACTGACTGGTCAAGAGCGATATCGGTATTCACGAAACCGTCATCATCTCTTGCTCCTAATTGTACTCTTGCTACGTCCCATGCAAGCTTCATCAAAAGGACTCACCGGCGCACCTCGTACTTGATTGTCTGTCACACCGTGCTTGGAGTGATCGAGGTCAGCTAAGTTCTGGGGTCTAGGTATTTTGTACGGAGTACAGATACTGGCTTTCTCGTCCGATCCTATCCCTGGTAACCTTCGTCGCGGCACTCCAGGTTGGCTTCGGAGAGTCTGCCGCACCGGAGCACCGGCCGGGCCCATCTGGTGCTACCCTTGGGTCACTAAGTGCATGCGGAGTAGGTATTTGTCCACGGCACCTCCTTTGGCAGATCACCAACTCAAGTTTCGGCTTCCATTGCATTTCGCCAACCAAAGCCTAGTCCGGCCAGTCTGGTGCCACATATCCGACATTGGCATGGTGTCAGTCCTGCATTCACGACTCCATCTGACCTTCGGCTTGACTTCGCCTAAACATGGTCTTGGTTGTCCTCCTTACTCTTCCTACTCCAGGACACTGGAGGAATGGGTTCGACAAGTCTCAGCTGCCCAGTCACATTGAATGCTTAGCACGTTGATAAGCCGGTCGGACCGGTATCAGAGGAACTAACAGTCCTCGGCGCCAGGCTGTGGGGACGGCTGTGTTCTTCTGTTACTTCCCTCTTCATGGCATGGCCAAACCTAGTTTGGCGAACAAGTCACAGTCGGACAATATCTCCACTGCGGAACAAGACCTTCCAGTACGGATTGCTTCGTCGCCAGCATTGTCATTAGGAAATGGCGCTGTTTACTCAGATAACTCGCAGCAGCAACAATCCCCAGCCGCTGGAATCCCGGGAATGGCTATGTACCCAATGATACCTTGACATTCATCAGTCGACCACCTGCTCGCTATGGAGCTGGACGTGACTGAAGCCAGCGGAGCATGGCAAGGCAAGCAATCCCTCAAACCCTTCGAGCCGAATTGTCAAATTGTTTTGGTCCCTTCCTGGACCCGGCGTGACATGCAAGTCTGGAAAATCCATCTCACTTTGCCTTCCTTTACCCCAGCAGCCCTCACTTTGTTGCATCTGCAAGGACAGCCGATATCAATGGAGACGGTGGCTAAATGACGAAAAGATTTGCAAGCACGTTGTTTCTCTCTCCCACTTCCTTGCTTCCCTGCTTGCCGTTCAGTCTTCACTCCATTCATTCCGGTGTACGGGACAGGCTACAGCGATACATTTGGCCATCACAAATGAACACCGCCCACCGAAAGATGAATCCCCGTTTTCACGAATTTACCCCCTATTCCCGGTTTAGTCTCGATCCTGTTTTCGTCCATGGACAAATCACGATGGGGTGTCAGGCCCATCGCAGCGACTCAGGCAGATCATGCTGAGTGATGACGACTCCCCACTGGCACACAAAAGCCTCTGTCTCCATTGGCAGTGGCGAGCCTCCAAGGCCAAGGCTCCAATCACTTTTGCTGCGAAAGACCGTCTGTAATTTGGCGTCCCCGGAGCCTGCCCCGCGCTGATCCGACTATTGGCACACCTTCGAGTATGGATACCTCTGGTGGTGGTCATGGTGGTTTCTTTTGGGCTTCGCGCCTCCACATTAGTCCCCCCCGCCCGTCGCCGACGCTGGCGTAACACCACGAACTTACCTCCGGCCGGCCGTCCCGGGGCCGCGGAGTGCTGTGGACGTTCACTTTACGATATCGATTCTGATTCGATTGACTGAGCCCGATCTATCATCTGCCAAGTGACAGACTGCAGCATTGGGCCCTTCCCGCGCAAGGTGGCATAGACACCGCGTACTCATTCTCGTTTCCTACACTTGTATATAAACAATTGGATCGTCGACCACCCACCCGGAACCGACGTCAGTCTCCTTTGGTGGTACTGTGAAGGGACCTGACCCTCGGGACTTGAAATGAGGATCTTCTTTGGTGACGGTAGTTATGAGCGCTGGTCGACCATACCCGCCGACTTTATACTTACTCTTGGGTGATGCAGGTGAATCTCGATCCAGGCATGCCATTCAGCGTATCAGTCATCTACGGAAATTTTCCGGCTGACTGTCGGCAAGACCACCTATAGTCCGAAGTCTAACCGATTCTCGACTTGGCTGTTTGAACTACCCACGATGTACTGAATCCTAGGAGGTAACGCCCTTGTGCTCTAGATCAGTTGTCCGAAAAGTACGAGTGGCCCCTTATGAACCAAAATCGTTCATGTAAAGATGCATAAATGGTGATCAAATCCGTGGTCCATCTTCAGAGCGATGCTGCTCACTTGCTAGATACATCTACATGAAGGCTGGTTGCGGTCGATCATACTCATGCTACGTATCAATGCTCGGCAGTCTTGTCTGGTCATCTCACATTCACTAGTCGTGTTCTTTCCAATGGTCTTTGACTGCTATCTTGATCCATACCCTGTCAACTGGGCTTGTGAAAACTGGCATCTCCAGTCACATTCAATGAAAAGGGTCGGTCTCAAGGAACACGGCCAGTTATGATGTTTCTGGTTTCTTCCCAGTAACTAGAAACGGGTATCTAAGCCCGTACAGATGAAAGCCTTCAAGAACACAGCCTATGCCTGACCTAGGCTGGCTTCTCGATTTGACTTGTTTGGGCATTCGAGGCACAAGTATATGGGCGGCAAGGAGAAGATGAGCCTATGTAACCTTCTGTGGGTGTTACATGGAGATTTTAATGAGTCCCTCGAAAGGGGAGGTTACCTTGCAGAACTCTATTGTTCGCCAGTTATGTCTAGCATGTGGCTGCGACTGATGGGAATAGACGACGATGTTCTTGGAAATGTTGGAAGGGAGACCAGATGCACATATGCCATCCTTGAACGAAGGGTCGCCGGTACTATGTCTACTGAAACTCTGTTTGGGTTCTCTTATGGGTGTCTGAAGCGTGATAGCATCTTTGAATGCTTGAGAGATGTTTGTTAATCAGTACCTTGGTTTCTTGACAGAGATAATGCGACTAGACGTTCAACACTGCATGGCATGAAGTGACTTAACTTGCTAATCCGCCGAGAGGAAAGAAACTCGAGATGAAGATCGTCTCCCCCGAAACGATCTCAAATCAAATCAAAGAGAAGATTTGGGTGGTGGATGTTTCGAGATACGCCAAACCAATTGTCTCCGGAACAATGCTTTGAGTATCTTTTAGACGTCGACCTTGTTTTCTACTCCCGAAGAACAACCTACGGCTGCCTTTGACTTCACTTTTTCCTTGCCAACAGGACTCTCAAGTTTGAAAGAATGACCTATTGCGAAAATGTTGAGCACGGTTGGTCTATCCTCTTTCAGGAACAAACAGGAACCAGGTAGGCGATGCGAAGAAACAATAGACAAGGAGACGAAAAAAAAACCCAGCGACAGAGATGGACAGGGCCTATCTGTATATATCTTACCCAGCATACACGATGGTAAACGTCTCCTTGATTCAGATATCAGTTCGAAAAAGCAGCTCAGTTGCAAAATCATCATCATGTCGCACAGAGAAGCAAATCGGAACCCCCTGAGCCTCAAGGGCATCCTACACTCGGACGAAGGTCCCGTCGGCGACGAACCCAACTTCCGATCTCTGCGAGACGGCCGTAGGTATATCACTGCGAGAGATGCTGACGGCATCAGAGACGTGACATTTGTCGGCTTTCCTCAACTCGATGCTACCCGGGAAGAGAAGCTTGCGAATCTCGCAGCGGACTTGGTAAAGCCCACCAAAGAGGCTTCTCCTGCAAGTTCAACCTACCCGTCCTCCCCGAGTTCATGAATGAGATGCTGACACACGGTGGGTATAGAAAACGATTGTAAGGTATCTCGACTTCCTCCCAAAAGACAAGGTCTTCATCGTCGAGAGACTTTCCATGCAGGGATTATGGCGATCCGCGAGAGGTACTACACAAGACCATATAGTCCTCGACGTAGCTTGGGACCTCCTCCTTGCCCTCGCCTACCTCCACGCAACAGGGACTGCACACGGAGACGTTCGCCTCCATAACGTATTCCCCTTCCCCTCAGAAGACTCGTCGCGCGTTCGCTTCAAGCTCTTCGGACACAGCCTCGTTCCAGAAGTCCTGAGCCACAACTTACGCAACGACTGCTACACGGCCCCTGAGCTACGCTGTCCAGGCAAGTATTACGGCTTCAGCGCCAACACAAAGCCGACGTTCGAATCCGACATTTGGATGCTGGGCATGGCCCTCTGGCACTGTCACCGTTTCGGCGTTTACTACGACGGCCGCGGATCCGCGAGGGAACGGTGGGAGTCGGATAGGCTGATCCAGCCTGACCTGACCGATGGCGCAGAATTTGGCATTCACCCACTGGCTCCCCGGGGCCGTGGCTGTGAGCCCTCGCCTCACCGATTCGTCGAGGACCTGCTTCATAAGATGCTCACTCCAGATCCTAAGCGGCGATGGACTGCTGCGGACTTGCTGGAGCAGATGAAGATGCAGAAGAATTACACGCCCGCGGAAGGTGATATGAAGCGGGACCTGGCCGATCTTCAGGCCGCTCTGAAAGGTGAGAAATATGACACGTTTAGAAGGATGGCGGCCACGTTGAGAGAGGCT